TTTGGGATTTGCAGCATCTCAGAAACCATATCCTGTCACACCCCTTTCCAGAAAGCTGTTGGAGGATGCATTTTATTAGAAAACAAGGAGAAACTGAGGATTTGGGTGTGGGGCCCAGGGAACTGGTGGCTGGAGCCGGAGGGAGTCTGAGGTGTGAAGAAGGCTGCACGGGGAGGAGGGTCTGGGAAAGTTTCTTCCTGCAGGGGGCTGATGGGCCGCCGCCTGCGTCTGCTCGTCTGGGGAGGGTATGTGGGTTCAGAGAGCTCAGGGTGGGATTAGACACAGGTGCCCTGAAAACTGAGCAAGTGAGGGAAAACACAAAGCAGTACGGGACGTGGGAAGGGCTCGGTGTCCTGCGTGGCCACAGTGTGAACAGTGTTGACCCGTCGTCTGGGGTTGCCACTGACTGTCGATGGGGCGGGACCTGGGAGTCATTGCTGGCGTCCAGGGAGGGAGGGAAGTGCGTGATGCGTGTGCAGGTTGGATCGTTGTGGTCCGTCACGGGAAGTCTTAGATGATGCCCCAAACGGAAGAAATCCGGCAAGGTAGCAATAGAAGCGTGTCGCCTAGAGAATATACTGGCTCAGATAATTCAGAGCGTTTGCTGCAGGAGACAGAGTGGAAGGGGCAGAGGGCTGCCGATTTTCATAACCTTCCAGTTTGACTATTTACACTTTGTATAACTTCTGTAAATGTACTTTATAAACGGGAGAAGGGGTTCCACTGAGAATGACCCAGGAGGCAGGTGAGCAGGGTGTGAAGCCAGGCGCAGGACTGGGCTGTTGGGACAATAAGAGGAAATGCTGTTCTGCCCCAGAATCTGCTCCTGGGGTTGCCCGGTCTGTGTGGGTTCCTCACTCAGGGTATGGAACACAGCCCTGTCCCCACTCGGGGCCCGCAGGCATTTGAGAGACACAGGCCAGGGCCCACGATGAGCCTTCCTGCAGGCTCCCGTCCATCGTGGTCACCCTGCACGGCTGGCGGGCTGACTGGCGTCTGGTACTGTCCTGGGAGAAGGTGGCGAGCGCGGGCACCTCCGCATCTGTTTGCTGCTTCAGGGACAGCTGGGCCGAGGAAGATGTGCTGAGAGAAGGCTCCTCGGTCAGGAGGTAGGACCTGCCCCCAGCACGGACCCTGCTGTCCCTCCCGGGAGCGGGCCGGCAGTGACATCGCCCGCCCTTCCTGCCGGCACGGTGTCTGAGGCACCCACATGAGTGGTGCCGCTGTGCTTCCTTGTGGTCTCTGTCCCTGTGACACGGTGAGCGCTGGCTGCGGTGCTGGGGTTTCCGACCCCGGAGCCTCCTGGGGCCCTGGCCCAGCAGCGTGTCTGCTGAAAATGCCCGGTCCCACACGTGGTCTCTGCGGGCATCCTGGGGACTCCCGTTCATGGCCTGTTCCGTGGGCCTGCTCTTGGCGGGGGCACTGGGGGAGGTGGGAGGGACTCTTCCTAGAGGCCCAGAGGAGTGACCCAGCAGCGGGCCACCTGCTGCGCCCCTCCCGATGGGTTCTGTGGCCCGCGTGGATCACACCTGTCACCAGCAGCTCCGGGCGCGAACTTGTCGTATGTTTGCGGGTGTGTGTGCGCACGTGTGTGGTTCTGGCTCCCCGGGCCCAGGCAGTCCTTCCAGCCTGGTGCCGGTTCCGGGGCTGCGTCCTGCGGCTGTGACCTCAGGCGACCGTTTGGCCCCCGTCACTGTGCTGGGAGCTGTATGGTGGGGTGGTGACCTAGGAGGGTCGGTCAGCCTGGTGTCGTATGTGTTAATGCTGGGATTGTCCGAACTCTCTCCCCTTCCCTTCTCTGGGCCAGCCTCGGCTGCAGCAGCCCGGAAAACCGGGCCCTTTGGGCGCAGTGCTCAGTCGGGCCTGTGCTGGCAAGTTACCTATTCCGGCTGAGGCCTCGGGATTGTCGTGGGGGGACCGCCCTGGGCCGGGGGACCTATGCCTCTGTTTCTGCCTCTGTGCCTGAGCGTCCGGCCCATGCCCCATCTCTGGGAATGACACCCTTGCTGCTCTGCACCCAGCCTAGACTGCTGGCTCTTGTCGTCTGTTGCCGCCTCCCTATTTCGTCGTCTGTTGCCGCCTCCCTACTTCCCGCCCCTCCAGAGCACTTTCCTGGGCGCTCCAGCCCTGCTGCCACACGGTTTAAACCTCTTCAGCCAGCTCGCGGCTCCTATCTCCTCTGACCTTTTCTAGAGCCTTCTTTGCTGCAGCCTCCCAAGGGCTCCCAGTGAAGCTCTGAGCACCTGCCCTGCGACCAAGCTCGGCCCACGGGCGCCCCTCGGCCCTGGGCTCTGCCTCCGAGCCTTCTCTGCCTCTGTGGCCCTTCCTGGGCTGTCCGGGGCGCCAGCGACTGCCCCTGCAGGATTCTGTAGGTGGTCAGGGCACCCGGCGGCTGCCGTCCCTCAGATGCTGCTTGGGGCCGGACATCAGGCTGGCTTTGTTCACCCAGTGACCCTCTGTGACACCCAGGAGGCGGGCCCCAGTTTCCCTCCGTGGTCTCTCCCTGTGGCTGGAACGAGCTGCTGCTGGTGCAGCTGGATCCCGTGAGGTCAGGGAGTCGTGGCCAGAGCTCCCCGGCCTCGGCCCGGAGTCCCTGTGGCCTAAGTGCCCGAGCCCCACGCCCTCTTCTCTGGGAGGACACTTGCTTATCATTTAGGCTTCGTCTGAGACCTGTCTTCTCACAGAGCCTTCCACGAGCCCCTCTGCACCCCAAACTCTCACCTCCCCAGTGTGGCTCCCGGACCAGCTGCTTGTTGCTCCGTGTCCTTGTGTGGTGCTGGTCTGTCCTGTCATGGGGCACAGGCGGGTGGCTGTCGTGGGGACGTCTGTGTTCCTTGGCGCTATCAGTAGGGAGGAGATGTTTTTTCCAGATAAATAACAATTCATCTCCATAAATATTTGTTTTTCGTGACAACAGAGTAGAACGAGGGTGGCATAGAACTTCGTTCTTAACTGTATTTCACGAGTAATGTCCTTCACAAAGCAGTGAAATACGCGTGTAACTAGAAATCAGATCCTCACGGTCCCAGCACTGGGAGGTGACTGCTCTCCAGGGAGTCCTGTTCATCTTCCTAGATTTTCAGGGTCCATATGCAGACATGGTGGTCCCACGCGTGTGGGTTACGGCCTTCCCTATATGTCCTGTGTCCTCGTGCCCCTTGCTGAGAGCGCTCCTTCCGTGGCCGCCGTCATTGCCCTGCTGGTGGGGGATTTGGGTCATTTCTGGTTCTTGTTACAAACAGCAGGATAAACTTTTGGTACCCATCTCTCTTTAAAACGGATGGACACGTAGGACTGTGTGCCCCTGCTGCGGTCGTCCAGGGGCTGGTGACCACCCTGGGAGTAAAACCCAGAGTGTCGAGCCACAGACGTGGGGCCACACGCCCCGGCCCTGGGCCCTCAGGACCTGGGGTCTGTCCACACTCTCCCACAGCTCCCCTCCTGTGTTTGTGCCTCAGGGACCCAGGATTCAGTGTACCCTCGCTCCGGGGACCTGGCCTCCCTGGGCTGGTTCTCCACATTGTTCCTGTCATCACAGCGAGCAGATCCTTAGGCCACTTTTGTTTTTGGAAACAGAATCCTAGATCAGGACAGGAGGTCCTGTTCTCCTGGTCCCTTCCTCACCTGAGGATGGGTAGACCCATGTTCGGGAAGGTATAGTAACCTGCCTGGGGCCTCACAGCCATGCGGGGTCCCTCCTGGGACCACTGCCTGGGCCTGGGCCGCCAACAGGCCTGCTGCTTCTCCATGGTTCTGAGACCTTTTCTCCTGTGTTGCTCGGCAGGTTCAGAGAGCATCTTCCCGGTGCGGACTCTCGTTTGGGAGCATCCTTTGTTCCCGCGTTGCCTTTGACTGTCGCCCGCAAGACAGCTGACCTGGTCTTTAACTCTCCCTTCTTTGCCCTGCTATCCACTGCCTGTCTGCTGAAAGAAAGCCTCGTGGGCCGGGGTGGGGGTGGGGTGCTGAGTTCATTGTTCGGGGTTTTGTAATTCTTGAACAGGAGGGGCCGTGGCCAGGAGTAGCTAGTCGGAAGCGGCGGCCCGGCGTGTCTGAGTCACGGCATGCGTGGACGGGGTGGAGATGAGCGTGATGTCCCCTTCGGCTCACGCGCCCTCTCTACCTTCCCGCCGCATCCTCGCTCACCTTCCCCCTGTGGGGCGGGGGTGCCCACCCCCTGGCAGCACACCTGGCCGTGTGGGCTGTGATTCCTCCCCTGAGGCCAGCCCGGCCTCCCACCGCCCCCGCCTTCCTGCTGTCGGGAGGAGCACTCCACGAAGCACACTGCTCGGGTGTGCAAGAGGACGGCCGTCCTCCCAGCCCGCGAAACTGCCCGCGGTGCTCACGTAGGGGGCGGACGTGCCCTCCCGTGTCCAGCTATGCCTGAGCCCCCTGCTTGCCGCCCCTGTTCGAGGTCCTGGCGAAAGTGGTCTTTGGGGCCTCTACGTAGCTGCCTTTTTGAATTTTTAAAGTGTTCAAAAGATCAAGTTTTCCAGGGACTGAGGGAACAGGGAGAGAAAATTGTGGCATTTGTTTGAAAGGTTCTGAGAGCTTTTTTTAGCTCAGACCGTTCAAAGAGCGCCTCTTGTTAGTCAGAGGAATATTCCAGCATCCCTGGGGTGGTCACACTGGCTTAATTGGGACCCGGGCTGCTTTGAAGTCCTTTTAATCCTGCCTGAGCTGGGGGAAGAAATTTGAAGGCAGCAACTATAAGTTTGAAATTTCTTCGTTTTACTTACATGAGTCTGGGGACTCGTGTAACTCGTTTTCCTGAAGCGGTTAAGCCAGGTCGCTGGCCAGTGCACGGCAGCATCTGGTGCCTCGCCTGGTGCGGTCAGGTGGCCGCTGCTGACCGTGGCCGGAAGTTTGCTGTCCTTGGGGCTGTCCCTGTGGACCGTCCCCACGCGGGGGAGTCTGTAGTCCTGCTGCAGTCGCTTAAGGAGGGGCCTCTCGACCCCGACAGTCCTGACCTCACTGACCGAGTCTCCTTCCACAGGCCCCACGGAGGGGAGGTCGGACTGCAGCTGCTGGAATTCCAGCCACGGACTCGTTCCAGTGGAGGGACCTGCGGGCACGTGTGCCACCGGCGAGCCCCGGCCTATTCCGGCGGGTCCTGGCCTCCTCGACGCTCCCCCCCGCCCCTCGTCCCTTCCCTTCCTGCCACCACCCGCCGAGCTGCCGTGTGGCCTCCGTCTGTCTCTGAAGCACAGCGGGTGCTCGTTTTCCTTTTGTGAATGTTTGAAGTGTTTTATACGTGGAAAAGCACGTCTTTAAGGAACAACGTGTGGGCCCCGTGTCTCCACCCTCGAGTCACTCCGAAGCCTGGAGGGAGCCCCGTCGGAGCCTGCATTGCTGCCCCCATGCTTCGTGGCTGTCCTTCTGGACCTTGCCGGCCTCTGCGAGCCTGGCCCCCGCGGGGTGCTCGCTGGGCCCGAGAAGCTCCCGTCTCCGCCGGTGCGTACACCGCTGATTCCTTCGTTCAGTGTCGTGGGGGCTGATGACGTATAAATGTGTGAGGGAAGCCGTGTTTCCATGAAAACACCGTTGAACGCTTTGGAAAGCCTCCCAGGAGAACTGGTAGCACATGGCTGCTGAACAGAGCGACCGACGGAGAGATGGACGGGGTTGGGGGGAGTCGGAAGATTTAGGAAGGTTGCAGGTGTCCGTGTTGAGGAAACAAAGCCAAAATCGTGGATGACGATTTGTGGTGTCTGTAAGAAACGTAAGGTAGAACTCAAATTAGGAGACCTACCTTTGAGGAAGTCTGCAGCTTGGGGGGGTGCTGTGTATTTGTGCCAGTTACCGTGTTGGCGACGCCCGTGTGTGAGGCATGGGCTCCTCGCTGTAGCCGGCCACCACTGTGTGGGGTCAGTGACGGTCCTGGTGGTTTTATGTGGGGAGCCTCCTGCTGGCATGTGTCGGCCGCGCTTGGCATGCGGGTCAGTCTTCCTGGTACCCATCGCCGGACACCGTTGGTGGACGGCCCGCAATGGTTTCGGTATAAACGGCCATGACTAGTAAGTCTACAGCGCTAAGCTTCACGATTGTTTTCTGAATAGTATAAAATTTCCCAGTTTTCATCCTGTCCTGCGGGAGGCCACTGTTTTTGTCTTGTTTGTCCTTCTAGGCATTTCTTACGCATCTGTAAACCAGCTCAGCCGTGCTTGATTACGTCTTGCTGCTTTCATACTGAAGGTGGCCTAGTGCTCGCATTCTCCTCTGGCACGTGGGGGGCTGGGCCGTGCCGGCTTCCTAATCTCTGGTGGCAACTTTGGCATCACCCTGGCGTCGTGGGGGAATGCGCTGCGTAGTTGGACACGAGGTGTGGGACCTCACTTAGATTTTAAAGTGCTTGCTGTGGTTGCCGGCTTGCAAGTTGATGCTTGGAGGTAAGTATGAGATGCAGGGGACCGGCCAGGAGGCCACCGGGATGGTCACAGTAGAGCCAGGATGAGCGGCTGTGTGTGGGGCTGTGCTGAAGCCACAGCGGCTGAGTGAAAGTGACCTGGAGAAAGGCCCCCGGGACCCTGGGGCTTGTCATGGCGGCTGGCAGGATGGAGAAACCGGAGAGGAACGGGGTGGGAGGAGCCAGGAAGGTGTTCTCCAGCCAGGAGCCGTCCAGGAGGCAGGTGGGCAACCCCGGAACTCAGGACCCAGAGTCTCTTGTTGGGGGTCCGGCCCGGGGTGAGGGGGTGGGGAACACAGGGTGGGTTAAGAGGGGGGCGAGAGGCATCCAGCAGGAAGAGGCCAGGAGGGAGCTGGAGAAGGAGCTGGCTGTCCTGGGAGGACGAGGAGGGCCGAGGGGTGTCGGTGCAGAGGTTTGCAGCCAGCTCCGGCCGGGAGGGATGGGAGAGCACAGGTGGGGCAGATTTGGGGACGGGGAGCAAGGATACTGTGCAGAGGCGTGCTCCTGGCAGAAGGCAGTGAGGAGGGGGGCTGAGGCCCCGGCGAGGAGGGGGGCTGAGGCCCCGGCGGGCAGGGGGACGGGACGTGCAGACCCCTCCGGGGCCAGGGGTCCTGAGGGTGGGTTGCCTATGGGCAGTACTTTGTCAGGCAGTGTGACTTGTGTTTCCGTGTGTGACCGTCGTCGATTGCTTGGGGGGACAGCTGCAGCTGGGTCGTGGGCTGCCCTGTGGGCCTGTGGGCGTGGGGAAAGGACACTTGTTCTCTGTTTATCCGGGAAAACAGGCAGCTTTAGAAGATGTGTGGATGGCCGCTGTCTGCCACGTGGCCATCATATCACATGGGGAGAGGGGCAGGTGACCTTCATGGGTGCCTGTGGCCTTGGGACCATCAGTGGTCCCTTTCTCTGGAGTGTCTGATCTCCAGCTCCGTAGCCGCAGGGCTGGGTACGGCAGGAACAGCCCCTGAGGGTGAACCCATCAGAACCTGGGCCACGTCCATGTCACAGGGAATTCATCCTTTTCTTGAGGAAAACAGTAGCTGCTTTCCCCGTCCTGGGAGAGATACCAGGCTTTGTCTTAACTTGGTGACATCCCTCCTGACCCCAGCCCCACCTCCCCCCCATAGCTGTGCCCCGTCATCAAGAAAAACCTGATTTAACGGGACATCCCATTGGCCCTGTGGCTTGCAGTTGTGAATGTCTGTCCTCCTTTTGGGTTTAAGCCAGGTCTTGCTGTGTAGCGTTTTCCAGTCCTGGTTCTGCATACTTTCTGCAGGGGGGTTTGTCCCCTTGTTGTAGGTCCCCCTGCCTGGCCGAAGCCACTCCCGGGAGCCTGGGCCTGGTGGGCTTTGTTCTTGGGGAGAATGGCTCCCTGGAAGTGAGCTTGAGCTTCATCAGAGAAATTGGAGTCCTCTGGATCTCATGGAACCGGCCCTTTGGGCTTCGGCAGGAGCCCCGACACCTGCTCGTGCGAGCCTCGGAATAGCTGCTGCTGGGCTGGACTGTCTTTCCTTGAGCGTCACCCGGCAGGGTGACTCCCCCAGGCTCCCGCTGGGCTGCATGCAACTGAGTCGGAGTCAAAATTCAGCCCCCCCTTGAAAGCCCACAGTCAGAGTTAAAAGTCTTTGCGGTGAAGCCAGGGTTTTAGCAGCAGCTGGGAACTGTCAGTCCTGTCATCTCCCAGTCGAGGATCCAGAGGCCCTCTGAAGGCCTTCCACCTCGTCGTGTGTGAAGTGGAAGTTTGGGGGTGGATTGATGCTCCCGTGCTGTTTCTGGGCTGCGAGTCCTGCTCGCCGAGAGGCCGAGCTAGGCCCAGAGCACCCCTGGTAAACGTCTTTGGCCTCTGCTCTCTGATCTGATGCTGGTGGAGCCTGCAGTGTTCGGTGATCCCTCCTGATGGCCCAGCTCCTCCACCTGCTGCCCGTGTTCGCACTGGGCACTCACCACGGGTGGCTGGATCCCAGGGCTCCTCCCGCCGGGTCTCCTGCCGCCGCCTCTTCCAGATGCCCTTCTCCCGTTGAGCACACGCGGGCGAGCCCCATTTACTGCCAGCCTCACTGCTCCTCCTCTCCAGCTGGGCTTTTCCAGTGGCTCTTTGCACACAGCACGCTGCGTGGGGCTGTTGCTAGTTCTTGTTTGTACTCCGACACGTAACACGGTTCTTATTGGAAGTTACAGATCCCTTTGATTGCCACCACTGGTCTCGGCTCTGACCTGGCGGTGCCCCCCCCAGCCTCCGTTTGCAGTGAATCTTTTCAGAGCACGCTCTGTAAATACTCGCCCATGCTGTTGGTGTGTTTTCTTTGAGCCTGGACTTGTGAATTGTTGGTGCGGTTTTGGGGACGCGGCCCTCTTTCCCTGAGCACCTGCCAGACTCACCTGGCCCTTTGGGTGGAAGAGGGGGTGCTTTGGGAGGAAGGGTGGGGAGCTGCCTGTAGGCCAGGGGGTCCCGCGTCCCCGTCCTGCGGGCCTCCTCCTTCCCTGGTGTGTGCCGCCTGCGCCCCCCCCTCCGCCGCCCGGCCTTCCGGGGCCCTCGTCTTCCGCCCTCTGTGCTCAGTCCCCAGGCCTGCGTAAGTTGGAGAGCGCGGGTGGAGAAATGCACACAGATGGGACGTGTGACACTGTGCACACGCGCAGGCGTCTGCCTCCTTTGCCGCCATCGGCCTGGCCACAGGGGAGAGGGGCCTGGGCCTCCAGAACGGCGGGTCATCTCTCGGGCCCCCACGCGCTGTGCAGAGCCAGCCTGGGGGCCCTGACCCATGCTATGAAGCTGGGGAGGCCTGAGTGGCCTCCCACGCCTAGCCCAGCCTTTGTGGGCAGCCAGGACGCCAGCGTGAGAGCGTGGGTCCCAGGACCCCACGGTGGTCTTCCTGCGGCCGCCGGGCTGGGAGGGCGGAGGGCCCTTGGGCTCGGCCCACAGGCCGCTCTGAGCCACCCCGCTGGATGTGCGGTCTCACCGGGTCAGCGCTGGTCACCGTGGCTCCCAGGTTCCACCGCTCAAAGGGAGTTTAAGGAAAACTTGACAGATGTTCTCACAAGAAGCGTTAGAAACTTTGGAAGGTGAACAGAAACAGGGCTCTGCCGCTGTGACCGGGGTCTGGCTTCCTCCCACACGTGTTCTCCCTGCTGTCCACACGGGTGCATTGTTAGTCGATCCAGCTTTCTGCTTTTGCTTTTCTCAGTGTGCGTGTTTTTGTTGTCAGAAGACCCACGTATGTTGGCATTTCAAAATACTGCTCCCGTCACCCCCCCTCCTGTTCTCGTGGCATCGTGTGTGCCCCAGGGTACGAAGCCCGAGTGTGGATGACGGCACAGGGGCCTGGCCGCCGGCCATGTGACAGCACAAAGTAAGGGTCGTGGGAGTTCACGGCCTTGCCTTCTGGGATTCTTTTACCTTTGGACCAAATTTTGGAATCTGATGTTGGCCTGTCAAATTGACAGAGAACCTCAGAGAATGTTTTCTTTGTTAAGTGTGCAGTGGGCGGTTTTCTTGATGGCGTAACCTGTTTGGTGACTTGCCCTACGGCGTCTGTGGGACTGTCTTACCGCTTAGGTTGCCCCACTTTTTCTTTCTTTTTTTTTTTTTTTAAAGATTTTATTTATTTATTTGACAGAGAGAGACACAGCGAGAGCGGGAACACAAGCAGGGGGAGTGGGAGAGGGAGAAGCAGGCTTCCCGCCGAGCAGGGAGCCCGATGCGGGGCTCGATCCCAGGACCCTGGGATCGTGACCTGAGCCGAAGGACGACTGAGCCACCCAGGCGCCCGCCCCACTTTTTCTGTAAATGACCAGTGGTTCTGAGTTGTGCCTAAGAAACCCTGGGGAGTTGGTTTGCAGGTCCCGGGCCCACCTGGAGGGGTTTCGATTCCGCGGACCGAGGTGGGTGGACCGGAGTGACTGCCGAGGACACGGGCCGCTCTTCCCGTTCCGACGACCCCGCCCTGTGATGGCACACATGTGTCCCGTTGCCCTGTCCACTGCGTGTGCCCCGTGTTCTCCTGTGCCTTTTGCTGCTGTGGCACCCACCTGCCCCCCTCTTGTGCTCGGCCTCAGGTGTCCGGGGTAGATAGTACCCACGCTGGGCCGTGAGAACCTACTTATTTTCTGTTATTGAGCTTTTTTTTTTTTTTTTTTAACATTAACAACAGTGGCGTTGTTCCTCAGAACACTGAGGGCGGGATGATCCAGCAGTTCTGTTTCTGGGTATATATCAAAGAGTCGAAAGCAGAGACGCAGATACGTATTTGCACATATTAGCTACGTGTGGTGGTTTCCTTTTTTTTTTTTAAGATTTTATTTATTTGAGAGAGAGAGAGAGAAAGCACGCATGAGCAGGGGAAGGACAGAGGGAGAGGGAGAAGCAGGCTTCCCGCGGAGCAGGGAGCCTGATGCGGGGCTCAGTCCCAGGACCCCGGGACCATGACCTGAGCCGAAGGCAGATGCTTCACTGATGAGCCGCCTGGTGCCCCACGTGGTTTCTTCCTTGAGATGCGTTCCTGGAAGAGCAGTTGCCGTTTGGCAGGTGCGGACTCCCCTCTTGGTTACGTGTCTTAGCTTGTCCGTGGCCAGGGCCTCCTTGGGGCAGTGGGGGCAGGACAGCCAGGCCACGGGAGCCACAACAGCAGACCAGGAAGCTGTCCTGGCTTTCCTCCCCAAGGAGCTGATCGGCAGGGACCTCGGGATGCGCGATTCACGCGCGCTGTTGTCTCTGCTGCCCCAGACGCCTCCCTGATGCACCTCAGCCACGCCCCAGGGGACCTGGTTAACGTTTGAGTCCTTCAGTGTCCGGTTACTGCCCACGTCCGGTCCTTAGGGCGTGTTTTCACGTAAACCGAGCGTGCTGGGGCTGCTTCCTGACAGGTCACCGTCCATAGCTAGGACCCTTCCTCCTGGCTCTCCCCTTTTCTGGCCTTATTTATTTTTTAAATATTTATTTATTTGAGAGAGAGAGAGTGCGCGTGCACACACCCGTGCGAGCGGGAGCAGGGGCAGAGGGAGAGAGACTCTCAAGCAGACTCTGCAGCTGAGATCATGACCTGAGCCGAAATCAAGAGTTGGGCACTTAACCGACTGACCCACCCAGGTGCCCCTTTTCTGGCTTTAGAGTGTCCACACACTGCACCACCCACCTTTCTCTCCTTTTTCTCACACAGAACATTCCGGAACCATTGCCCTAAATGCACTGTTTCTAACTAAATTCTCACACATACCAGTCCCCCAACAGAACGTGTTTTCTCTTTGATCAGCGCTGCAGAACTGAGGGTGTGCAGAATCCCAGGCAGTTTAACGTAGTGATTACTTATTTCGAGTCGGACCTCGTATTCCTCCTTTACACAGTGAGACGTCACACGCCGCGGTCTCTGTCACCCGCGTCCTGCCCCTGTCGAGTTACGTGGGTCGGTGCGTGTACCTTACAAACCGGGGGCAAAGGCTCCCGTCTCCTCCTGTGCCCGCGTGCGCTTAGTGAGTGCACCAGGGTGGTCGGGCAGCCGCACTGCAGTAGGCCTGGGTCCTCGGGGTTTGGACACAACGCCAGAGGAGCCCCGTCGAGCTGGCGAGTCAGCTTGCAGGTGTCTGGACGGTGACCGAACCTGCGCCGTCTCCTTCCCTGAAAGATGTCCCACCTTTTCTCCGTCTCTGAGGGGAGAATGAGCCGGTGGGTGGGAGAGTCCTGAGTGTGGCCCGCTGGTTTTCTGTGCTTCGAGCTGTTCGGGGAAGCGGAGCCCGAGTGCTGGCGGGAGTGACCGGTCAGGGCCGCAGGTGTGGGGCCCCGCAGGCCACCGAGGGAAGGGCTGTGCTGTGGTGATGTGCCCGCAGCAGCTGCGGGCCGGCTGGGGCGGGGCGGGGGTGGGCGCCGTGCCACGCGGCCTCCTCTTCTGGAATTGGGCACGTGGGGGAGGCAGGCCCTGCAGCCCACGTCCCGGCTCTGCGAGGAGGGGGTGGCTCATCTGAATGGTGGCACCTGGGATTCGGGGGCTGGGACCGTGGCCAGGGACCAGCCCGCTGGAGGGCCTGCCGAGGCGTGTCAGCCAGATCCGTGGGCTGTGTGCTGCGGTTTGTGCGGGGGACGCCCGCCCTCCCGGCCGCTCCGGGAGGGGCAGCACGGCTCCGGTGACCTAGGCTGCGGACGTCCTGCCCCTCCGGTGAGTGGAGCATGTTTGCGTGGCCAGGCTCTCGCTGGGGGAGGGGTGGGAAGTCGGTTTGCTGCTCGGTTCGTTCGAATGTGGAGCCAGCCCATGATGGCCGCCCAGAAGTCGCACTGCGCTTGCGCGCCTGACGGCTTCTGTCTGAGCGTTTGTGCTGAAGGAGCGGAGGCCCGGCCCGGCCCTGAGTGTGTGCGTGCGTGTGCGGGCGCGGCCCCGGTGCGCTGGCCGGGGTGGGGGTCCCCAGGGGGTGTGGGGGCCCCGCCGTCCGTGGGATGGAGTGTCTCACGGTGCGTTTCAAGTTTGCTTTTCTCCTGATTTGAAACGTTCCAATTTTCCCTCATTATGAAATTGCTTCATTTCAAATTATCTTCACTTCAGAGGAGATTGGAGAGCCCGGCGGAAAGCGAGTCTGCCTGCGCATGTGTCTGACTTCTAGCTTTTGGGGGCTGATTTGGACCTCCGGGCACGAAGCTTGTTTCTGAATTGGCGTCACGTGCTCCTGACTCTGCCGATTGGCCTCCAGATTTCTGGAAGGCTTCTACTTGGAGGGAACTGTAGGTCACCTGCCCTCGATGAGAGCTGCCGCCTCGGTTGCTGAGAACCCCTAGAGACTCAGTGGCCACCTGCTGATGGGTCCTCTCCCTGGGCCCTTCCCTCCGCTCAGGTCTGAGCAGATAGAGCCGGGCCGGAAGATGCGGCACCCACCTGCCTCCCCCACGAAGCGAGGTCCGGGGCGGGGCAGATGTGGATGTGCGGGCCGTCTGGTAGATTTGTTTTCATTAAACTCGTCCCACGGACTTAGTAACCGTTTGGGTACCCCTCTGACTGACACAGAGAAACAACAACTTGAATATCTCTAGAATGTTTCGGAAAAAAATATCTCTTGGCTTGAGAAGATTTCTTTACTTTTATGCCCATATGTTTAACTCCCCGAGGTTGGGAAGCTTGAGGAAGCTTCCAGGAAGAATGGGACCTGGCATTCAAAGCTCGCTCAAGCCCTTCTGTTGCTGGATTTCAGGCTTGCACAGGGTCCTTACAGATGGTCATCTGGTCTGGGGAGGAGCGCGGGGAGAAATCTCTCCTGTGCCCATTGGTTCCTGTAGGCCCAGGGAGGGGCTGTTGCTCAGGTGGCCGGGAGGGGTGTTTGTGAGGGCATCTGCAAGGGGGAGAGCCGGGGGGCACCTGGGGGAGCACCTGCGGGAAGCACGTGCGGGAAGGGTGTGGACCGTAGAGGCCCAGGTGTGTGAACATTTGGGGCGTGCGGGGTTTCAGATGGACTGCTGGCGGGTCACAGGTGCTGGGAGCTCCTGTTCAAGTGACGACGGACACCGAGAGACCCCGTGGCGAATGCAGAGGGGGGCAGGCGGGGCGGGGAGTGGCCTGGGGGCATGATGGGAGGTTCCCTCTTCCAGGGAGCGGGGATTGTCCTGAGACCTCTTGAGGAAGAGCGCCGCGAGCACAGGGTGAACTAGCGCAGAGCTCGGGGGCACTGCGGTGACGTGTCTTTGTCCGGAGGCAAGGCTGTGGGAGGCGGAGCCCCTGGGGCCTGTTCCTGTGGTGGATGCTCCCGGAAGCCGGGCACTGTGGTGCCGCTGGAGGCCGGGGAGAGGGCCTTCGGACCCCGTAGTGACCGTAGCCAGTCCTGTGGCTTTGCGGCAGACTCTCTCCACCGGGGGCGTGTCTTGAGGGTGTAGCTTTGTCACAACCCCCGTGGCTCCCTCAGTGATGGAGGAGGCTGCGCCCCGTGCTTGGCGCCTAGGCCTCGAGCTCGGCTGCCACCTGCAGGCCAGGGAGCCCCTTAGCTTGCATGCCACGCGCCATGTGGGGACCGTGCCTGCCGCGCTGGGTGTCGCAGTCTTTCGCTGGTGTTGTTGGCGCGGGTTCTGCTGCGTCCCAGTGTCGGGTTCTAAGGGGTCAGACGAGGTCAGCGCTGCTCAGGGGTGCATCGGGAGCCGCTGTGGACACCTGGGGCCTCTGTTTCCTCCTCTGTGAGGTGATGACAGTGGCCACAGAGACGCGAGCTGAGGTGGGCAGTGTGGAGGGGTGTGAACACGACAGAGCAGCGTCCGTGGGGGGCCTGCTGTGGCTTCTCTTCCTATTGCCGGCTCCAGGGAGACGGGCACCCTCCACCTCACCTCCCCTGCCCTGCAGGCCGACAGCGGCGGCTAGCTGTTGACCTATTCTTACAGCTGAAACGAACTTGGGTCAAGTAAACATAATGTACCTGATACCACGTAGCCAGGGGCGGGCTGCGGTTCAAACCCAGGTCGCGGTGCGTGCTCGGCGCGTGGGATGCGACCCGTCCCGGGTCTGTGACTCATGGGCGGCTGGCGTGGTCTTGGCGGCCGTCCGGGGGCGGAATGAGGTCCCCCCCAGGGAGTGGCTGCCGCTGACACGTGTTCTCGATCCCACAGGACCCCGGAAGACCTTTCCAGGTTCATTGTTGACCTGCAGCAGCGAGAGGTGGTCTTGCAGGACCGGAACAACACCATCACCAGCAGGTAGGCCTGGCGGCCCGGGTGTGCGCGGGATGCGTCTGCTTTGGAAAGGAGCCCAGAGCGTGTGTGTCCCCTGGGCGTGGCTCAGGAGCGGCTCTGCTTCACTGTCCCTTGGCCTCGGCCTGAGTGAGTGGGAGGGGTCGGTCCGGAGGGTGCAGGGTGCCCCACCTTTCTGCCCCGTGACCGTGACTGCCGAGGCGGCATGGTGCTGTCTTCCCTGCCGCGTGCCAGGCCACCTCTGCCTTCCTGGTGCTTGGGGGCCACGAGAAGGACGTGCGCCTGGATTGGGGAACCCTGTCTTTGCTGTAGCGTGGGCTCCCAGTGACCCCCTGATGGTGTGGAACCCGGCGCCCAGGGGGCAGCGTGTGCGTGTCCGTGTGCTCAGGAAGGTCCCCACAGAGGAACAGAGATCGGGAAGACCTCGCCCAGGCTGCACAGTGAGGAAGGAGTCCCCTTCCCTGGCGGGAGGCCGGGAGGCCGGGAAGCCGGCAGCTGTGTGCCTTCTTGCCCGCTCGGTGTTAGGTCTTTCCTCCCAACCCCGTGAGGCCAGCGGTGCTCTGTCGTCTCGCTCTGTCCTGACACGCCGCCACAGGGGAAGCGCTTGGTCCCACAAGCTGCCCCCATTCCACACCTCGGTCGCGAGTCCTGGCTCCCCAGGCTCCCTGTGCTTTGGCCCTGGTTGTCCCCCCACCCGTTTGCGGATTTGCTAGAATGACTCAGAATTCAGGAAAATGCTTTATGTGCAATCAGCAGTTTACAGCCAAGGTTGCAATCAGAGCAGCCAGATGGAGGAGATGCCTGGGGGGAGGGCTGGGGGCGAGAGCTTCCCTGTCCCCTCTGGGTGCACCCCCGCTCCCAGCACCTAGGTGTGTTGCCCAACTCAGAAGCTCTCTGAGCCCTGCTCTGGGGGGTTTTAGGGAGTTTCCATGCTTGATTAAGTTGTTGGCTGCTGGGGAAGAGCTCAGGCCCCCACCCCCACGGTGGGGGGGTGGACCTGGAGGTGGTTGATTGCTCTGGCCCCGCCTGCAGTCCCCTCATTAGCTCAAACGGACTGTGGTTGACAGGGGCTTGTTAGGAGTCAGGCACTGCCCCTCTCACCTCAGAAACCCCAGGGGTCTTAGGAACCCGTTGCCAGGAAAGTGGACAGAGAGCAAGTGCTTCTCCTTTAGGCTGCCTCTGGGCTCTCCCGGGTGGTCTGCCTCCTTTCTCCAGGGCCGAGTAGGCGGCTGCCCAGGCTGTGGGTGACACATCCGCAGGCCAGAGGAGAGGCCTTTTTCTTGGGTCTTCTCTTTGGAACGAGGAAACCTTTCCTGGGACCCCGCTGCCGGCAGACCTCCATCCAGCCTCGTTGGCCGGGGGCAGCTCCAGGCAGGATGGGCTTGTCCTGAGGCTGCGGCCGGCCCACTTCCCGCTGGGCTCTCCGAGGGGCGGACAGCTGAGGGGGTCTGTGAGCAGCCGGCCTCGGCCTTCTGCGGACATAGTGTCTTAAGGATTCGTTAGTAGCCAGGGGAAAGGATTTCTTATTTTGGGGGTTGATGTCACTTTGAAAATGGGCTTTTAGAAGCATCTGGTTATGTTGGACATAATCACGTCAACTTAGCTCAAAAACTTCAAACGATAAAATTGCCTTTTGCTTTCAAAGCTACCATCAGATGAAACGGGTATTAAAAGTGATTTGAAATTAAAGCTTTTACATTTTTCCAGACGATCTTCTTCAGTTTACTTTGCATTTGAAGCAGAACGAACCGTTAGAGGGAAGGAAACTTGCCTTCGTTTTTCTCAGGCCAAACCGTGAGGGGGCGGGAGGCCAGCGTCCGTGTGCGGGAGGCGGCGGCAAGAGCAGCTCCGTCCGCGGGGCCCCGGCAGCCCTCTGGCTCGTGGCTGCGCGTGGGGCCGGCCCTCCATCTCTGTGCTGGCGGCAGCAGGCCCCTGCGGTGGCCCCCTGCCCATCTCTCCGGACCCTTGGGCCCCCTCCGAGAGCGAGGGTGCGGCCCCGGGACCCCCCGAGGGCAAGCTCTGTGCCGTGGCTCTTGTGCGGGAGGTGAGGGGCGCTGGCCCACACGCCGCCACTGGGGCGACTGGCCTTTCGCAGCTTGGCCTGGCCCCGGGGGAGGGGCCGGAGCTGTCACCCCGTCCTGCAGAGGAGAGCTTGGGTTCAGAGGGCCGGAGGGCTCAGGCGAGAAGGGAGGCCAGGCAGCTCCCGCCACGCTCACGTGGGACAGATGGCTGGCAGGGACCCTGTGACGCGAGGCCCTTCCTGACCAGCACGGAGAGGGCTTGTGTGTCCGGCGTCCTTCACGCTGGCCGGCTCTCGGGCAGCTGCGGGTCCCGTGGGCAGGAAGTGACGTGGCCGTTAGCTGTGGCCTTCTGCGTGGAGGGCCAGGAGCCGCCTTCATTCCTGCACATCTTCACAGGCGGTGAGCAGGAATTGAGGGCAGCTGGGAAGAGGCAGTTGGCTAGAGGGCGAGCACGAGGGGTCCGGCAGGCCCTGGCACGGGGAGGGCGCTCCCGCTCACACAGAGCAGGGGACCCAGCACCCCGAAGCCGTGGCCCCAGGTGCGAGAGTAGGCCCTGTGGGTTTGGTCTCCAGGCATTTTTTCTGGTCTGTCCCTTGCCGGGTCCTTCCGTGGTGGCCTCCGCTAAGGCACTCCAGCTCATTCAGGGAAGGATCTGTGCTACGCCTCACCTGGGAAGGTGAGGGGAGAGCAGACTCGAGCTGCCGGCCGGCCGCCCCCTGGAGCGGAGCTGAGCGTCCCCATGCCTCGCTGCAGGTGCCCCTGGTTCTGCAACGCCATCCGCCTGCCTGGGATTTGTACCTTCCTCGATGTTTGTGCCCACAGACTTCTGGAGGCTGCAAGGCGAGTGGTGGCTGGGGCTTCAGGCGGGAACCTTCCAGAGCCTTCCAGGTAGCAGGGGGGGCGGGGGCGTGTTCTTCTTGCGGAGGGTAGGGATGAACGTCCGTGCTAGCTTTGTGCACGATTACCCGAGTTCTGAGCTCTGATTTCCTCCTATCAGAGTGGGGCTCGTGTCTGTCATGAGGCTCGTTCTGAGGGCGCAGCGAGATGTGGTCTGTGCCCCGTGGCCGGTAGCGCCCCAGAGACGCCGGTGGCGGGAGCTGTCTTTCCGAGAACCCTCTGTGCTGTGGGGCCAGGAGGCAGGCACGGGTCTGTTCGGCAGCGCGGGGCGGCCGTGGGGCGTCCTTTCCCTCACGGGGGTGTTGGGACCCCGCAGGCCAGGCTGCTTGCCTCGTCCCTTTCACGGTCGTGCCCGGACACTCCAGGGCCCCCTCGGCCGCTGCTGGCAGGAGCTTGATTACAGCACAGGGACCTTTGCCTTTTGTCACTGCGGCCGCAGATTCAGAGCTCGTTCTTGGAGCCTGGGGGCTGATGCGCTTCCGCCCCCCGGCTGTGTGCTGGGGAAGTGGTGACTGTGGAGCATCTGGGTGCGTCCTCTGTCCCTGTGCTCCGCATAGAGCTCGCCCGCTGCTGCCGTGCCCCGCCTTGGTCCTCGCCGGAGGACCTCCCCAAGGGCCCAGCACCCCGTCCGCGTCCTGCTCGCTGCTCGCTGCTCGCCGCCGGCTTCTGGAGCCAGGCCGTGGACGGCAGGCTGCACTCCTTCGAGGCCCGGACCCTGGCCAGGCTGGCGTCTGTCAGACTGCGACGTGCTCCGAGGGCGTCTTGAACGAGAAGTGGGAAATGAGGGGCAGCACTTTGTGGGGCCGTGCCATCTGGGGTTGCCATGCTTTGCCGGAAACGAGGCCTCACGCTGGACAGTGGGTGACAGAGCGGAGCCAGGCTCTGGGGTGCGGGTTCCCCTCCCGTACGCATGGTGGCGGCGGGAGCGTCTCCGTGCTCAGTGCCGCACACATGCGTCTCCCCCGAAAGTCCGCGGCGGGTGTGGCCATGTCCTCTGCGTGGCAGAGACGCCTGAGCCCCCGGGAGACAGCTGTGGCATCACCGCGTGGCTTACCTGAGCATGGAGCCTGCGCCCCTGCCAAGTGCTTGACGTGGCTGCAGAGGGGCCGCTTCTCACTAATTTCTCTGCTGCGGTGGAGACGTGGCTCCTGGGCCCTCCGTGCGGCGCAGGGCCGGCCCGCCGTCCTTGGTGAGGACTTAGGGGAGAACCCACCGTATAGGTGAAAGGAGAGAAAAGCAGGTCCGGGGGAGCTCTTCGCATCTTTGTCTGCCCCTGGCCCTCGAGAACCAGCCCCGCACCGCCCGCTCTGCACGCTGCTGCTGGTGGGCTTGCGGCTTCGGGCGGATGAGTCTCCGGGGCTCCGGGCTGCCCTGTCACTGCAGGCTGAAGCTCGCATTTGCCTCCTTTGGGTGAGAGCTGCCTCACAAGAGCCCTTGGTCTCGGGGGTCGGGGCTCGCGAGCCCTGACACTCCTGAGGTCCCAGTCTGGCCGTGGACTGCCCGCGGGTCTTCCCTTGCTGCCGCCACCGCGGCGAGCGTCCCGGGCCATGACTGGGGATGCCTGGGGCCCCCGGCAGCCCTTGGAAGAGGCCGCTGCTTGGTGAAGGGGGCTCGGCTGAATGGTGGGAGGGCAGTCCTTGCCCACGCCGCCCGTCCCCGTCTCCGAGAGGTGGTGCCCTTGGTCGTGCGTCTTCCCGGCAGCCGGCAGGTTGATGGGTTCTCTGTCATCCCCGAGGGGGAGTTAAGATCAGTGTACGGGTCATAATTCTTCATGTGGCTCTTTTCCTGCTGTTTGTCCACAGCATTTAGGCCGTCCTCGCAAACCATCTGGAGTATGAGTAGGCCTTGTCACCTCTGTCACCCTGTGTCTGTGTGAGTTATGGTGCTCTCAAGCCATCCCGAGGCCAGCAAGGCCAGTGACGGCCACAGAAGATTCATGATGACCGAGGACCTGTTCTCTGTGCGTCGGGGTGGAGTTCACGCTGTGCTTGGAGCGCCAGTGGGTCTCTGGCTCTAGCTCAGGCTGGCCTGCCACCGAGTCGTTGTGTGTCCTTGGACAGAAGAATCAGCCTTTGCCTCACCTGTCAGGACGGGGATGGTGATAACTGTCCCGGGACTGTTGAGTGCTAAGGAAGGAGGCTCTGTCAGCATCAGATACCCGTGCCTGGCGAGGGAACAGGGCAGGAGCGGCCTCTGGGGTAGTTGAGGGCATGGTGGTGTGAGCATCTCCTGTGTGTGGCCAGAGAAGGCCCGAAGGGGCTGGACTTGGGGTTGGTGTGCAGGACAGTGACGTCAGGTGGGAGAATAAGCCGGGGGGTTGTGGGGGGGATAACCATGAGAGCACGAGGAACGGCACGACCTTCTCTGTGTGTCGATGGAGGGCGACCGGGAAATTGCTTTGGACATTGCGTGTTGAGGCGCCTGTGAGGCCAGAGAGAGGTCGGAGAGGTTGTGGACAGTCAGAGACGTAGGTGCTCACAGCGTCTCCTGCGGACTCTGTCCCGGGCCTGTGGGCACCCGAGCAGGGC